GCCATGTGGGTGGGTGCTCGCCTATGGTCGGTGGGCGTGGTGTGGGCGTGTGTGGGCGTGCGGGCGGTGCTGGGGGCGTGTACCATGGCCGAGTTCCCCTGCAGAAGTAAACAGTGTGTCAGCCTCGACCGCTACTGTGATGGCCAGAAGGATTGTGAAGATAATAGCGACGAACCTTCAGGGTGCTCACGTATGTCTGCTGTGTATGGCTGTTTTTTGTGTTTTTTGCTGTTGCTTTTTTCTTTTTTTTGCAGTTTTTTGCTGTTTTTTGCTATTTTTTGTGTTTTTTTTGCTGTTTTTTGTGTTTTTTGCTGTTGCTTTTTTCTTCTTTTTTTTGCAGTTTTTATGCTTTTTTGTGTTTTTTGCTATTTTTTGTGTGTTTTTTTGCTGTTTTTTGCTGTTTCTTTTGCTGTTTTTTGCTTTTTTGTTGTTGCTGTTTTAGGACATGTTCTCTGCTGTTTTTATATATGTTATGCTGTTCTCACCTATTATGTTGTTCTCTTGTTCTCGATTTTGTCCTACTGTTCTCACCTATATTTTGCTGTTTCTTTATCCACCTCTACAGCCTGTAATATACCTTCATCTACCCAAACAACCTGTAATAAATTCCTTTCTCTTTCTATCCTCACCCACAGCCTGCAACAGGACGTACTACGGGCGTGTGGGAGCGACCTACACCCTACAGATCCCACGCCCACACAGAGGTACACTGCCCCACTTCTGCCAGCTGACGTTCATTGCTTCTGGAGACGTGTATGGGGACCTGGTACAACTGAGTATTGAAAAGTTTAATTTGGGCAGGTGAGCTGAGGTTACCTGTTCAATGGTAATGGGTACAGGTGTTATAAGTGGATAATGTGGGTAGGAGTGTGGATAGTGGTTAATGTTGGTTGGAGTGTGGATACTAGTTAATGTTGGTAGGAGTGTCGACAGTGGTTAATGTTGGTTGGTGTGTGGATAGTGGTTAATGTTGGTTGGTGTGTGGATAGTGGTTAATGTGGGTAGTTAGGAGCGTTGATGGTAGTTGATGTAGGTAGTTAAGGTATATACGAGTATATGTATGCATGTATAATGAACCTTGAAAATTGATATAAAATGTATATTGAATTTTGGTCATTTGTCGCGAATTAATTGTTACTGTGAAACAAATCAATTATATAAAAAAACGCCTAATTCCTTTACAATGCAATTTACAAACGCCATTAATAACAAGAGTTTTATAATACACTAAAAAGGTTAATTGTGTAATATTTAAATTAATTTCAGTGATATAATACAGCTTAATTAATCCAACTCTATATATAATCCATTTAAGTCATCGTCAAGGGATAATTGATTTACATATGCATTCAGTGAATTCCCTTTATATTGAGTTAAAAAAAACAATATAATATTTGTGGGTTAAGGTATTTGATTAATATAAATTACAGGTAAAGTTAATAATGTTAAAATTAACCTGTAATTTTTTTTGGGGGGGGAGGTTAAGTTGAGAAATAATTTGAATGTTAACAAATATTTCAGTCAATTAATATAATTTATCTATATGTTGTCTTTCACTTTTCTCTCATTTCTATTTTGGATGTATTTTGTTTTTGTTTCCTATTTTATTGATTCTCTCTCCCATTCTCTGTCTGTCTGTCTTTTTCTTTCTTTCTCTTTGTTTCCTTCTTTTACACGCACTCTCTTTTGCTCATTATCTTTTTCTCTCACGCGCTCTCTCCCTCTTTCTCTCTCTCTCTCTCTCTCTCTTATTCCATGATTCTCCTCCTCCTCCTCATCAGCTATCTCCATGAGGTCATAAGGACAGCATCCACCCCTCACCCTCCTCATCCCCAGGTTCGTCTCCCACACCACCTCCGGCTGCCCTGACGGCTACATGCAGATCGAGGAGCTGAGTCGCCCCCTCAACGCCGGGTACTGGTGCGGGACGTCCTGGGGCCACAACGTCTTCTACTCCGAGACCTCCTCCATCACCGTCATGCTCCGGGTCTATAACCTCAGTGACGATGACGGTAGACCCAACCCCGGAGCGTTCTCCCCCCAGGATACTGTTATGCTCAGTATGTCTTTCAAGTTCCTGAGGAGGGAGCGGGCGATACTCCGCTACGGGGCGCCCTACAGTCCCAGCTACCGAGGGGAGGACGTGTCCAACACCTTCTGTGACAAGGAATTCGAGAACTGTGACAAAAAGAACTGTAAGGTTCAGTCACCTAACTTCCCCGGGATGTATCCGAGGAACCTGACGTGTTACTACCACATCCGGCAGACGAGAGTGCCAGACGGGAAGGTGGCACTGATCCGCGTCCGTCAGCGTAATCCACACCTCATCTATATCAAGGATCGCAATGCTCCTCACCTGTCAAGGGACCGGAAGCTCCAGGTGGGGTCCGACTGTCACGTGCTGTACGACTACCTGGTGGCTTATGATGGCAACAGTACTGGAGCACCCGTCTTGGCCACTGTGTGTAAAGGAGGAGCTCCTCTTACTGGCATAACTTCCAGTGGTCCCAGTCTTCTCCTTCTCTTCCACGCCTCACCGTTTGACTTTCCCTTCCAAGACTCTCCTCGTCGTCGAACATTCGGCTTCGAGTTGGATGTCGAGGTTGAGTTTGTTGACCGCGAGTCAACAGCTTATATCCGTGAAGGGTCGACTTGTGACTACATGGTGAGTAGTCGTGGCCAGCGCAGCGGGTATGTACAGTCACCTGTACACTCACTCTTACCCAACACTACCTGCACGTGGCGTCTCCTGGCTGGCAGCACAGAGGTGGTGTGGCTCTACTTCCTGCATTATCGCCACATCCTGCACCCAGAGATGCCAACGCCCTCCAAATGCACCAACACACTCACCATCACCGACGGAGACACTTCAACGGCTCCATCAGAGTCCAACCTTATCGTTGTTGACACCATCGCCAACAACACTATGAATGCGACAGAAGAAAACGTCACAGCTACAACAGAGATTGGGCAATTTTGTCGCCCAAACCGCTTACCGAGGGTATGTAGCGGCGTCCACGCCCCAGGACCCCACGCGGCGCCCTGTCTGCCAGGGGAAAGCTACATCTCTAACTCTCCAGCTCTCACACTCTCCCTCAGGTATGCAGCAGGCACAGCTCCAGCACATGTGGAGTTCTTGGCTCGTTATGAGTTTGTAGATAAACGTCAGTGGGGCTTTCCTACCCCTGGAGGAGGTCCTTGTGACAGAACCTTCACCATGCAACCAGATCGCCTATTCGCCTCCCCACGAGACGTTTTCCTGTTTGGTCGTGGCGGCGGCCGGAAACTTCGCTGTGTCTACACCTTTGTGGCTGAGCCCGACGAGCGGATAGTTCTGAGGATCATACGTTCACGGATGGGTTCCAGCTGTGGCACTTTGTTCAAACATTCCTCCAGGCGATACGAATGTTCACACGATGGTGCTGAAGACAAGCCAGCCATCTGGATGAGAGAGGAGCCGTGGGAAGGAGTGCCTCTCATGCGTGCTTGTCTCTGTAACATTTCTCACGAGCAGCCCTTCGTCCTCATCTCCTATACTAATGAGATCCAGATCATCTTCAGCATCCCAGTCATGACACCGTCAAGTGACTACAACGATTACTTCCTGGAGGGGGAATACTCCATGGTTGACGCCAGTAAAGGCTTCACTAACAAAGAGTGTGAGCAGAAAACTCGACATCTGGAGGGGCGTCATGGTAACTTCACCGTCGGCGTCACCCACGAGAACCACTGCTCGGCCCTCCCTCGTCTAGTCACGGCTGCTGACGGCTCTTTTCTCTTCCTTCGCGTGCGAGGCTTCAGCGCCTCAGAGACCAACTGTGATGGTTCATCACGAATAAACGTGTACGCGGTTGGTGGACTGGCGCCATTAGCCTCCATTTGCCCTGACCAACACAAAGATTATGCCCACGTATTTAGCAGTGGCTGGCACGGCCCTAACCAGACGATGATGGACGAACTGGCTGCCACCGACCTCTGGAACACCTCCGGCAACATGAACATCGGCCAGAGTAACTACTACTACCACCAACAACAGCTGGAGTACCAGAAGAGAGGACGCCACCGCCAGCGGAAGCAACAGCAAGAGTCACGTGACCTGGTGGTGGAGTATGTCGGCAACTCCACCGGCAGAGTCATGATCACCTGGATAGGGGTGTGGAGACCCATGCAGACGGCGCCACTCTCACCTGTGGGCGTGGATCTCTGCCCTCACAGGTGCCCGGAAATCCAAGCTTGTCTTCCAGCAGACCTGTGGTGTGACGGAAACATCCACTGCCCCTCAGGTCTGGACGAGGGCGCGGGGGCGTGCGGTCTTTTAGCCGCCCTTCCCTGGGTGTACCTCGCCGCTGCCATAGTGCTCTTCATATCCCTGGTGGCCCTGCTGGTGGCTGTCGTCATGCACCGGCGACGCGTCCAAGCACAGAAGGACGCAGAGTCCGTGGTGACCAACAACAGCCACGGACTGAAGAGCACCACGCAGGACTTTCTCATCCCCCCGGATAAGGACTCATGGTGACAAGAGGCCCATTCTGGCGACGACGTGGTACGCGTGGACTACGAGACTACCGTGTAGCTGGTCCTGGTGCCTGGGGTCTAGTGTCCTGGTGCCTGGGGTCTAGTGTCCTGGTGCCTGGGGTCTAGTGTCCTGGTGCCTGGGGTCTAGTGTCCTGGTTAACTGGGCGTCTAGTAACCTGGTTACGGGTTACCTGGGGGTCTAGTGTCCTGGTGCCTGGGGTCTAGTGTCCTGGTGCTCGGGGTCTAGTGTCCTGGTGCCTGGGGTCTAGTGTCCTGGTGCTCGGGGTCTAGTGTCCTGGTGCCTGGGGTCTAGTGTCCTGGTGCCTGGGGTCTAGTGTCCTGGTGCCTGGGGTCTAGTGTCCTGGTGCCTGGGATCTAGTGTCCTGGTGCTCGGGGTCTAGCATCACCAGCCGTCGTTAGGATGGGTAAGTAAGTAAGTAAGTAATGTTAAAGACTCTTCAGTGTATATAACATCGTGACAATCTCCTGCAGGGTGTCGCCAGGGTGAGGAGCCGCTGAGAGGTGAAGGATAGATCATGTACATAGATCAATTTTTTTAAAAGACTTTGTATATATGTACACAACTGTGGAAGTTTTCTACATATGTAAACTAATTGTTATAAATGAATGGGTATCATGTGAAGTAGTATGTGAGGTGGATAAATAAAAAAATAAAATATATATATATATCAATATTTTGTTGAAGACTTCCATGATTTTCAGCCACTTAACTTATTCACTGGCTTGAAAAAAAAATATGTCTGATAATTTGTAAGTCTGACTGATCTATTGTCCTCTGTAAAAAAAATAAATATATAAACTTCAGGTGCTGGGGACTATGGAAATATTGTAATCCTTAGTTCAAAGTTGTTTTTTTCTTGAACTAGCACTCTATCTCAACTCACATGAGAGGCGTGTTTATACTGTCTGTTGGTTTGAATGACAATTATCTTATTTTCTGGAGTAAGATATAAGAGGAACTATATAGTTTTAGTGTATATTTAGTCTGTCATCACACTTTCAATCGTAGGTGTTATTAGACAAATGGCGGCAAAGTCATGAGCCGGATGAATGTGTGTCGGATGATAAAAGTCACATGCTGGTCCCGAGTGTTCAGAATGTTTGTTAATAAAAGAATTCTTGTTAACTGATGGCGTTCTAACTTAACCTTCACATATTCCCTCTTAAATAATACTTTCTTTTACTCGAATAAATCTTTTCCCAGTATGGTTCAACGTAAAGTGACTTGACTAACAATATCAAAGTCTTCCATTAAAATTACTATAATTTATATATTCTACTTCGGTGTTTTCCCTTCAACAACATCAACAACAACAGCAGCAGGTCAGGTCAGGTCAAGTCAAGTCACCCACCTGAGACAAGGCTCGCTGTAAAGAACGTTTAACTAAGATGAGTCAAAAGAGCAAAACAAAACGACGCCATAAAAAAAAAATCCTTCCTGGGAGAATCTTTTAGAACACGTAGTTGCTCACCCTGCTGTTCCCTCCCTCACCCTGCTGTTCCCTCCCTCACCCGTGTTCCCACCCTCACCCGTGTTCCCACCCTCACCCGTTCTCTCACCTGTTCTCTTACAAAGACTCGTTTCTCTTTTATGAGGAGAAAAAAACACACGACCAGCAACTCTTTCTGCATCAAGTTCCTAGACTAAACACACAACAAAAAACGAACGACAATGTGTAACTGAACAAAGAGGAAATGAGGGATTTTCTTGTAAAGCTCAACACTGAAAGAAATATCTGATAAATTCATATTATGATTTTTTTTACAGACTATTAGCATTAAATTCAACAATAAATTATGATAGTTAAACCCTAAAATACTGGTGTTTATATGAAAATAATTGAATTCACCAAAAAATATATTAAAAGTTTTGAATTCTACTGCCAACTATCGTGTCAGACGGATTGTAAACATGACGTCATCATATAAACATAAACACGGGGTATCTCCAAACTGTGTGAGGAGTACCTGAGTGTTACCCCAAGAAGGTTAAAGGTGTTTGTTGTGGCTTTAAACACCTGCCCTAGAGTGTCATAATCCTGGGAATTATAAAAGTAACAAAAAGATGTAATAATCCTGATAGTTGTTGATGTTAAACCTGATAGCAGTGAAGTAACCTAACTTAACCAAACATAACCTAACCGAACCTTCTCCTCCACCCTTCATCCCCTCACTTGTAGATGCACCTCCCCAACCTCTTACCAACTAACACATCATCACCTCCACAAAGGCTTTCCTCCCCGGCTTTTGTTCGCCCCTTCGTGGACGTGTATATAACGTTGGATAAAATGTTCTTTCGTCGTCTTTTCAAAATCTTCTTTAATTATTGTGTTACTCATATTAATATTGTTATAATGTTCCTTGTATGTGTGTGTGTGTGTGTGTGTGTGTGTGTGTGTGTGTGTGTGTGTGTGTGTTATGGTAAGAAACAAATTAAACAATATAAAAGAGGAATAATTTAGTCACCCATCCAAAAGAAAATGATGAGAAAAATTATCCAGATTAATGGGGTGACTTGTGGAGAGTTTTGAGGGAGATAAGAGTGTTCTCCTCTCTAGGTAAAGTGTCTTTCTCTTCCTTGATCATGACAACTGAGGAGGGGCTGAAGGAGGCTGAAGGAGGCTGAAGGGAGGGCTGAAGGAGGGCTGAAGGGAGGCTGAAGGAGGTAGAGGTGAAGGCTGAAGGAGGGCTGAAGGGAGGGCTGAAGTGAGGGTAGAGGTGAAGGCTGAAGGAGGCAGAGGAAATGGGTGAAGGTTTGAAGGAAGGGGTGAAGGGCCTAGAGAGAGAGAGAGAGAGAGAGAGAGAGAGAGAGAGAGAGAGAGAGAGAGAGAGAGAGAGAGAGAGAGAGAGAGAGAGACAAAAACCATACCAAATACAGAGAAACAAAACAAATATGTCACACTACTTACCTTTCTCAGTAAACAGGGACACAAACACAGAACAATATATTACCTGTATCATCTA